ATTCATTTTATGTCCCACCTCATCCAATCAACTAATGAAAAGTCAATTAAAACTAAGACAGAGATGGTACTTCACACTTATCATTATCCAGAAAAGAAAAATATATCACTGAAAGGTAGTCTATCTGTCTGGATTCACCAGAGGAAACCAGCTACTGGTCCAGAACAAGAATTCTCAAACCCATTTCTCCAACCCATTATTTAGTAACAACTACTTTGCAGATGCTCATTCTTTCCTGGGCCAAAACAGACATCACTTGAGGTGGGGAGATAGCATTCATACTTCTGAATAACACAGCAGTCATATTCTATTTTATACATAACAATCTTCTAAATATTTTATATACAAAAGAGTACTTAAAAACAAAACAAACTTCAGCAATTTCTCTCAATTTCCATATATTTTCTAACTTCTAATTTCTTATTTTTAATCACTATAGAATATTCCAGTTTACTCAGGCAAACTCCCATTGTATATTTTAGGTAATTTCTAATGTCTTGCTGTTATAAACAGTGTTCTTTTTGGAACATTATTGAAGTTGCATCTCAGTGCAGATCCTTAGGTTAGGAGGATAAATTCCCAGAGTACAATGGCTTGATATATTTATTATTACATATCCATCCAGAATGGTACAAACCTGCTTTTATACTAACTGAAAATACATTCTTAGGGCATAAGTTGTAAGTGTGCTCCCTTTCCTCCCACCTCATACATGCACCCACAGTTATAGGTACTGCTTATTGAGTACTTGTGATGTGCTGGGCACTGCTCTAAATGCTTTACCTGCATTGTCTCATTTGAAACAAGGGAGTCACTGATTCATTCATCAAAAAGATGGTGGCAAGGATTGTACGGGGGAGCCAAGAAAAAGAAGGGTCTCCTAAGAATCTGACCCAGTTTTTCTTACCTAGTGACTAGAATAAAATGTGAGGGTAAGTCTAAATTAGTCTTGGCTTATACGTCAGCATAGTAAGGTTTTCTGCCTTCCTTCTACATCTTGACACCCCAGTGTAAACACTGGCAGAGCTTAGCAAAATGGTTAAGTAAGCAGGATGCTGCCTCGACCTCTTCTACCTCATTGTTCTTCCAACTGTCTGCAGCCAATCTGTTTTCCTGCTTTGAGGTGACCTAATACTAATAGATTATTTATATTCTCCAAGACATCTTATACATATACATGCATATACATAAGTATATTCTTTCCCCCATTTTAGTACAAATCGTATAATACTATATACACTGCTCTAACTTTTTACTTCCTTTAAAATACATTTATCTTGGAAATCATTCATATCAGTACATAAAGAGTTTTCTAATTTCTTTTTTGGCCTTTTTCTATTGTATGCATGTCCCATATTTTAACTAGTACCCTAAAGTTAGACATTCAAATTATTTTTAGTCTTTACAATTATAAACATCAATGCATGTATCTTTTTTTCTAAGATCTGAATCATTTCTGAAATATCCTTACTGATAAAGTTATATTTACAACAAAGATCAAGCACATTACAATTCTCTCTGTACATTATTATTCCTTGCTGTTGACAAGATACTCTACTTTTTATCCCTCAAATTCTTTGCTTCAAAGATGGCAGCAGCTCTCTTGCTCAGGCCATTCTCTGCCATGTAACACCCTGCAATGCTGAGGAGAGTCACCACCAAGAAGAAGCCCTCACTAGATGCATCCCCTGGACCGTGGACTTCCCAGCCTCCAAAACTGCTGCCCTCCTCAGAGCTGTGCTGAGGCTGTGGGGGA